TCTTCGTAAAGTGATGTTCTGCCTTTAAGAAAAATATAAACCTTTACATTATGGACTGTGCATTATTTATGCTTTTGAAGAGGAATTGAAAAATTGTAATCTTTTTGGTTTTCCCAACTGTTTTGGTGGTCTAAATAGTTATGTTAAATTAAGATGTCCAATGTGTTTAAGTTATCTGGTCAATCAATATAATAAAATAAGCGATGGCCAAGATTGGGACCTTCAATGCATGCACGTTAGACGTGCATCGGATGTTCGGAAAAAGTGCATGTGCTCTGCAAACATAGAATGGAGTAGTCAATGGACAGCTTATTTTTGGAGGAATGCAGTGAGTACAGCCTACAGGCTATACCACATTCCAGTTTCCTAACAAGTATATATAAAACCATTTAGACATTTTTTTTTATATCATGGTGGCAAGAGCTATCTGTGGGACTGAATGCTGGTCAGACCACAGAGTGGTAAGAAGCAAAATGTCTCTTCAGGTTAATTACCAGTAAGATGAAGACAAAGACGAATAAGGCACCACGGAAATTCAACGTCCCTGCTATCCAAGTAGAGGGTATTAGTGACAATCTAAAGAAAACTATCCAGCAAGCAGTCTTTCCTGGCGACACAGGAGACATGGATATCGAAAGTGTGACTGTAAACTGTTCAAAGATGCCATCTACTCCACAAGTACTGTTGTTCAGGTTTTATAAACGTAAAACATCCTCACCGGTTTTAATGAAAATGACAAAGCGGTTATAAATCCACTTGAAGTGATGCACAAACACACAAGAACTGCGTCAATCACAGAATTTCAGCTGACAAAAAGTCATCAATGTATTTTAATAGGAAATACGTGGTCCAAAAAAGGCTACACCAGCCGTACAACAGGCATGGTGGGAAGTATAAGCACAGCATTACATCGTCTTACGAAGGTGTTAGGGCAGTTCGCCACACGTAAATTGCGTAGATGGGAAGGCTTTTAATCTTCCTGACATGTCTGAAATCTTAAATCGATGAGTAGAGCACATCCTACTAAACCGACCATCTTCAATGTCTAAGAATGCACAAAATACAGTATTATTCCACAAAGAATGATTCTAAAACCACTAGACCCACCTTCTTCACTAACTGAGGTAACGAAAGTCATCAAACAAACTTTCTTGGGCAAAGCTCCGGGTGTCGATGGGATCACAGCTTCATGGATATACAAGAACGGAGATCTTTACGTGGAGCAAGAGGAGCTGCTCTTAAAGAGCTCATGGGTTCTTTGAAAGGCAACCATACCATTTGTGGTAAGGTAAGATTTTGGCACGTTTCACTCTAAGCGGATGTTGAGTTTCAAGAGATATGTCGACTCGACAACAGAACATCGACACAATGTCGGTCCAACCTACTATTTTCCTGCGGCCGAGAGATTTGGTTTGACCATCAATATAGCAGGAAGATTAAGATCATCTATCAGCCCGCTCGTGACAAGAATGAAATTGCTCAACGCCCGACTCTTCCACATTGATAATAATGATAATGCTGGAGGAAATTGACAGGCGCTTGCGGGTTGGAACAATAGATGCAAAGGCTCATGGGAATGCTCTAACTAAAATTTTAAGATAGTGCGAAATCGTGTGTCGAAAAGCTGGCAAAATAGTCAAAAAGTGGCAGACGTAAATTTCTGAAATTGAGGAGCTTTGGAACATTAACAGTCCATTGCAACTCATGCTGGAATTTACGCGATATGCTTTTGGGCAATTTTAATAAAACTTGCTGACGTTTTAATTGATGTACATGTATAGGTCTAAACAATTCTAAAGTCTATATATTGTTCTAATTTGTAACAATAGTACTAATAAGGACTTGAGTGCGTAATCATGATTTATGACAATGTACATATAAGCACAATACTACATGTACTATTACATTCTTTTGGATCGGCATAAAAACATTTGCAAAAATATGCGCACTGCGTACATGCCCAATAAAGAGTACAGATTAGTTCAGTTCAGTTGTTCGAACCGTCACACGCAGACTTCAATATTTGAGCACAAATAATAACTAGAATACAAAACACATTCATTACGGTATATGTCCAAACTTGGCATGCTAAATCAAAACATCAGAATTGGTCGTTAATTATGTAATATCACTTTTCATCCGCCATGAAAGATGGCGCCATATTGGAAGCAGTCGCTTGCAAACTTGATGCATTCCCATCATTCAATGCGAGACGAGCAACTGGTGACAAATGGACAACCTATCATCGTCTCATCAAGCTCCTGGAACAGATACAACAGTGCTGCTTAAGGTGTCTAATGTCAACGTTAAGGAACCTTATGGCGTTCGCAGTGTGAATGCCAGATAATGAAAGCATAGTTACGCTGGGTTGGACGCGTGGTTACTTAAATGGACGATACCAGAATCCCGAAAGTGGCGTTATATTGTCAACTAACGAGTGGAAAGTTGGAAGGCGACGTATGAGGTACAAAACTTACCACCTGGAAGAATGTTGCTCAATTAAGGACGCGCAATAATCATTCTTTGATCATTCTGAGAACAATTACAATGTATCTTTACGGTACTGAAAAATCCTTATCTTTATCAACTTTTTCACTGTCAAACGATATTGTAAATTGTTTTTTCTTTATTTTTCGTTAGTAAAATTCTACAGTGAAAAACGTAACAGCACTTTACTAACAGGTTAGTGAAAGTGGGGTTAGTGAAATTTTTTGACATCACTGACCTTCAGCGGATGTTGGCACGATGTCATCGTAAAACTCTCCATCAAGTATCGTGATGTTTTCATAACCTGGTCCCTATTTCAATAATAATGACAATGTCATCATGATTTATTAATGTAGATTACATAGGGTGTAGTCTCCAATTTACCCTCATCAATATGTACGTACTTGATAACAAAGGCTTAAACGTGAGTGTTCTATGGGGGTTGGGGGAGAAAAACCTCACAGGAGATCGAATTCGATCACAAAATAGATTAACTTTATTCATAAACTGGAAATTCGACCACTTCTAAACAGTTCTCCCTAGGGGTACTTTTAAGTAAGACAATACCTAGACTTGCTCTAAGTCTCGCTCGAATTGGCTTCTTTTTTAATATCGTCTGGCTAGCCTGTTATGAGATCAGTATCATTTTCAATTGGGTCTAGACTAACTCTCGCTAATTACTAACGTCTGCTGAAACGAGCTGCACATTCCATTCCTTTTGTTTTGGAGTCAATCATCTGGCAGTGCATGTTCAAAAGAGTTAGAGCCAATTGGAAGCCGCCTTATTGAGGGTTTAGCTACTGGGGAAAGCTTTTGCACATGGGAATGTATTGTTTGGGTTGAAATTTGTTTACTTGCCTGGAGATATTTTTGGAAACTATAGCCTTGAGCTTCACAATGTTTACGTAGAATAATATTGTGATCATCTTCTCGTATGTTCTGCAAACAACCGGCGTATATAAAAAGCAAAAGCTATGCAACAGGCGAATGACATTAAGCTCTCGTTGCATGTAGAAAAGTATAGCGAAGTTACATGTATAAACGTTTCGAAATTTGGGCGAACTGGAAATTCATATCGCCGCAATTAAAAGTTTCTCGGGTTTTATTTGTGTTGTGTTTACATTCAAAAGTCAGAAGTCGTTGCTCAAACAGCAAATTAGTTTACTTTGAAACTAATATTTCGCTTTCTAAGCCACAGACACAGTATTATATCAAATTTTCTGTTATCTTAAAGATATATATCTGTCAAAAGTTCAAATTTCAGCGAAATATATTCTGCATTTGATGCTGTCGCTACTAGATTAATACAGTATGCCCTCGAGTATGCCATCCGGATCCTGTCCACGTTTTAAATATAACCGAACGTCTTTAATAATTAATGGCGAATCTGATAATTAATGGCGCATTTTATTTCCTGGACAAGTATCAATGTCTTTAAATTCAATTTAGGTGCAATTTTGACCAAAATTCAACCGACGACTGCTTTCAAAATAATTATAGAAATATTTATGTACTATTTATTCCGCCCGTAAATCACTTTGCGAAATATAGAAGGTTCGCTGTGATTGGTCGATCGGAGGGAATGGAATGTGCAGCTCGTTTCAGCAGACGTTAGTTAGCGAGGGTTAGAGCTATAAGAACGCCTGCGAGAGAGACTAGGTCTAGACTGGATGGACCCTATTCGAGCAAGACATGGAGAGAACTTAGGCAATGCCTTATGCTGATCCAGTTTTACTACAAAAGGAAGACTTTTAAACTTAACCAACTTTATTTATATAGGATACTGTAGCTCTATCAGTTCTAAATCGTTCTCTCTCGAAATCTAGAACGCTCATTTGCTATTATTAGGCTGTTATCACAAGAGGAAATCTAAATAAACTAATGTGTTTACACTGGATAGCTCTGTTCTATCTAGGGAAAGTGAAGGTCATTCTGATTAGTCAAGTAGGAAGCTTATACTAAATTGATTTTATCTACTCTGGATATCAGTTCTGAACTGTAATCCAACAACGGTCAACCCCATTGGTAATTGGTTCAGTATTACCACAGAAAACTTAAACTAAATCGGTTGGCTGGCTACGCCACTGAAACTAAACCATATGTTGGATATCTCTATTATATTAGTTCAAAACTACTGTCCCTGGAGGCCCATATACAGTATGTAACAACCATTCAGCAACACCGTATCATAACCATGGATAAATTACCTGTTCAATTGGCAAAGATTCAGGTGCAGTTTCAACTGCCTCGTGTACAGGCGTTGATAACATTGGAGCCATCTTCCGCCGTTTGTATTTTAGCAATAAGACGATAAGTATGATGCTAAAAAACACACCAGCCCCCACTGTCGTCGCTATGACAATGATTCTGCGTGAATGATCTGTTTTTACTTTGACTGAGTAAAGATAAAAGAATTCTAGAGATAAGAAGAATCAAAAGCTACTTTCCCTTTTATCGCCCAGAGGATTTATTCATCCTCGAGTTAAAACTAAAAGATATGGGAGCATGCATATTTATTACAACTATTGTTAGAAATGATTATAATTGTACATAGACAGAACTATTTTAAGTTATTTAATTAAGCCCGTCACTGAAGGTTGAGGGTATGGTATTGTCAATTAGATGAATATTTTTGATGTGCTTGAACATTCATGCAATTTGTCGTCAAAATCATAATTAACTTTGCTTGCTTTCGGTTGTGCAACACTTAAAGACCTTTAAGAAGCTCCTATTCTTCAATTTCCCCGCATAATGTTGTTCCTCCACAATACATAGTTCTTAAAGCCCGTTTATACACTTGCAATTTTTGCTTCGATTTCTAGTGCGATTTTTTTCTTCTGATGGATATAAACGAGTGGATGAGTTATGAATGTTCAGATGAGGATACACCTTTTAGTTCAATAGGATACACATACTCAGAACATTCGTAACTCATCTATTCGTTCACATGCATCAGAAGAAGAAAATTGCACTAGAAATCGCAACAAAAATTGCAACTGTAAGCGTCGTCAAAAAGTTGTACTTGCGAGTTATACCCAGTCAGTACAAATAACAGTGTTGTAACAAGTTTAGTCATTGACTCGGACTCGAGTCGCTATTTTCAGCGACTCGACTCGAGTGACAATCAGTGAACTCTAATAAGACTGGAACGATAACTCGGCCGCCATCTTTGAAGCTAAATTGAAGGCCACCATTGGAGGTACGGCGGCGAAAATACACCTCTTCGAGAACTCGGATTTCTGCCTTTCTAGCTATGCTAGAACATAGACAAAAAACTTAAAAACATCTATGATACTTGGACTATTGCACAAATCATGTTTGGAAGCCGTAGAAAAGAGTTAACGTTATTTTTTGTGTACCTGAAAGTCGTATTTTGTGTGGCACGGAAAATATTTTGTTATTTTCTTGAATACAAAAATGGTTTCTTTCGAGATTTTGCTGTTAGTGGATGTAAAATACTTAGAACTATCCAGAAAACCAAGTTTGAATCTTTGAAATTGAAATCTTCGGATCACGAAAAACCTAGTTTTTCGGCGTATTTTGGCTAAAAAAAAAATTACTAGGAAATTGAACTCGCCCCAGTTCTTTTTTAAAAGTCACAGCGCGCAAACTTCTCCCGGGCAGGCGGGCACCAAATCACAAATCGTAAATCACTTGGGTTTCTACGAAAAAATCGATTTATTCACGTTTTAGAGATGTCAAAAGGCACTCAAAATAAACAACTATACCTAGACTTTAATACAAAAAAAGTATTGGTCCGTCGATTTATGTTTCAAAGTATTTTTGTTTTAGTTAAAGAGCAAAGTTCACTTCGGCACGTTCAACTAGTGTCGTTTTTATGAAAACAAACCTGATAACTTCAAACTTTCGCTGTTTTGAGATGCAAAGCAGTTCTAACTATCAAATAAATCGTATTTGGGTTTTAAAATTGAAGTCTTTTGATGAAAAACGACATTTCTTGCTCATTTTCGTCGAAAATAAACTTTGACTGAATTTCCCAATCCTCGAAACTCTCCTTAGTCCTTTTAAAAGTGCAATTTCCTCGCACGGTTAGCTTCAGGCAAGTATGGGCATGGGCATGTTTACCCGAGTTATCGTTCCAGTCTTATTAGAATTCACTGGCGACAATTAATCAAAACAGGTCAGGTTGGCATTAGCGATGGAAGATGTCAGAAAACGTTGGAAAAATTGCAACGAGCTAACGTTATGTTATATACTGTAATACCAGACACATTTAACGAACATAAATAAGTGTTATATATAGACTAGTGTGAAAGGAAACAGAAATATGTTTTTGTAAAGTAAAGCACGCGTGATGCATTATTTTTGGTATGTTTTTCTTCAAATAAATTAAAGCATTTTTCAAACCAAAGGCCGCATAATAAGAATAGTTTGAACATTTTTTGAGAAAAAAAAGCATGCGGGGCTAGGAAGCATAAAATGCCAATTTACCAGCATTACCAGTAGTGAAACCCCCACTATGGAGACCAAAGGGATGCCGCCAATGACGTCACGCTGCTCCGAAAGTAATTAGTACGCAAGATATGTGACGTAACTTTGCTGGCCCTAACCCTAACCCTGAACCAGATAGCGCGACCGATCAACGCGGGCAGGCCTGGGCCAAACGTGACAGGTAGCGCGACCAATTAACGGGACATGCTCTTGCGATAGCTCAGTTGGCAGAGCGGGGGACTGTAGTTCCTTAGGTCGTTCGTTCAAGCCAAATTCAAGATTTAAAAACTCTTTTTGGCGCTCGGGAAAATGTATATGTATTTCGGAGCCTAATTCGGAATAATCAACCTTTGAAAGCTTACAGCGAAGCATATAGTCTAAATAGCTCGGAGTTTGGCTCGGAGCTGGTCCGTTCAAAGCATAGTCTTTAGTTGACAATGCTTGGTTCATGTCTACACGGTAAAGTTACTACCTTTTCGACTACGAAAAATGGTACATTTTGATTCTGTGGGAAAAAACTTTTAGAACAGTTGTAATATATTTTGCGATAAAAACATGTAGTCGTTATATACGTTGTTATGTGTTGCTAAGTCATTAGCGACGCTTGGATGCATGCATATATTAACCTACAACATATTTGTACACTTATCAGGCAGGCGGGTTGCGCGGGCGGAAGAGCGGGCTCTGCAGGTAAAGGCTTACACAAGATTTCAGTTTTAAAATTGCATTTATTTCTTCAAAACGTTTTACAAAATTTAGTACGGTCTACTTCTGAGAGCATAACGTTTAGGTGTTTTTGTTATTTTTAAAGAGTTCTCATATTCTTGTCTATCCTCAGGTGATAATCTTGCAACATCTTCATGCTTCATTGGAATATATTTCGGTCTTTCGTTTAGTAAAAAACGTTCATAATCCTCTCTTTCTTTCGGTTTCATCATAGCCAAGTCACTTTCTTTCCAATCAGCAGAGTCTATCCAATTGTAGAAAAAGTTGCGCTTCAGTCTTGGTCGTTTCTTTTCTGTTGGTGGTGGCGTAAGGAAATTAGGTTTAGGAGTAGCAGGCACTGGTGGTGGTATTTCCGCTGGTACAGGCGTAGGTGGCACTTGTGGTGGTATCTCTGCAGGCATTAACGTTGATGTTTGAACAGGGGCTTGAGCCGGGACATCCATCTTATTTTTGAATGTGAGAAATCGGTTTAGTTGATCAGAATATAATTTGCTTTTTTCCACAGCGCTAAGTTGTGGTGCATCCATGATTTCTTTCATTCGCTGCTCGGCATCATACATGGCATTTAGAAGCGGTGGTTATCGATACGATTGTTTTTATATAAACTTTTCAATCTCGCCTGGAAGTATATTCGTCTTAAGTCGATCTTCATCACTCGTTGTTGGTTTTAAATCCAACATTAAGTACCCGTGAGGTCGGAACGTAGCATCTTCATAACTCCTCATAAATTCTTGTACTCTTCCAGGATCTACTTGCCTTGCAAGCATAGAAATTTGCTGTTTATCTCTTGGTGACTTGAACAGCATGATATAATGCGCGTTTAGACTGATATTTCTCATTTCTTTGCCTTAATGGAATATATTTTGAACAATATAAATGACAGACAAATTTCGATGATGACTTCCTTTCGTAAAAAGATCAGCAATACGTTTATCCTTGCTAGATTGTACCATAAGATCATCCAATACGATGAAATTCCGTTGCGATACATCCAAGTAATCTGCGTTGTCGATATCGTCGGGAATGCCTTTATTGAACTCGATTCCAGGCACCGTCCGCATCATATCAAAATAGGAGGGTTGCCATTGACCATAACACCAAATGATGCGTTGAGGAGCAGGAGGTATGGTCTTCTGAGCATTCTCCAAGAGAGATTTTACCCATACGGTTTTGCCGCTTTGTGTACACCCAGCTACAATGCAAGTAAATGGGTGTTCCAAAACTGTAACTCCATTCACCGTAAGAGTTTGTTGCCCAAGATTACGAGTTCCATATGCATGAACAACCTTCTTGTGGCGAAGGAGATTACTCGCATTTGCAAACGTTTTACCACAGATGTCGCATTCATAAGACATTGTTACTTCGCAAGAGTCAGAGTGAAATGATTTAAAGCGAGGGTGAAGAGGTATATTTATCCTGTTTGCTATAGTCATTAAGACTACAGTAAAGACTATGAAAGACTATAGTCCTGACTATGGTAAAGACTATAAAGACTGTAGTAAAGACTATGAAAGACTATAGTCATGACTATGAAGACTATAGTCATGACAATGAAAGACTATAGTCCTAACTATGAAAGACTATAGTCCTAACTATGAAAGACTATAGTCCTGGCTATGAAGACTATAGTAAAGATTATATAAAGACTATAGTAAAGACTATAAAGACTATGGTAAAGACTATGAAAGACCATAGTCCTGACTATGAAAGACTATAGTCCTGACTATGAAGACTACATTAAAGACTATGAAAGACTATAGTCCTGACTATAGTAAAGACTATAAAGACTGTAGTAAAGACTATGAAAGACTATAGTCTTT